GGGGGGAAGGGGCGGGGCACGGGGGGCCACGGTTGAGCAGAACGGGGGGGCACGGTCGGTCGGTCGGAATGAGCAGAAGGGGAGGCACGGGGGGAATGGCGTGCACGGGGGGGGCACGGTAGGGCAGGCGGAAAAAGCTGACGGGGGGCACGAGGCGGAGGGGTGCGGGGGGGAGCAGGGGGACGGGAGAGCACGGTCGGGCAAGGAGGGGGGGGCACGGTCGGTCGGGCGGAATAAGCAGACGTGAGGGGCCACGGGGCGGAGGGGCGCAGAGGGGGGGCACGGTCGGTCGGTCGGTCGGACTAAGCAGACGGGGGCCACAGGGCGGAGGGGCGCGGGCGGGAACAAGGGGGACGGGAGGGCACCACGGTCGGACAAAAAGGGGGGCACGGTTGGTCGGTCGGTCGGAATTAGCAGACGGGGGCCTCGAGGCGGAGGGGTGCGGGGGGGAGCAGGGGGACGGGAGGGCACGGTCGGTCAAGGGGGGGGGGCACGGTCGGTCGGTCGGAATGAGCAAACGGGGGCCGCGGGGCGGAAGTGGCGCGGGGGGGAGCAGGGGGACGGGGCACGGTCGGTCGGTTGGTCGGAATAAGCAGACGGGGGCCACGGGGCGGAGGGGCGCGGAGGGAACAGGGGGACGGGAGGGCATTGTCGGGCAAGGGGGGGCACGGTCGGTCGGTCGGAATAATATGCAGACGGGGGGCACGGGGCGGAGGGGTGCAGGGGGGGCAGGCAGAGCACATGCGGGTGGCACGCATTCCAACGCACATCTTGGCCCAGAGACCCCAGCACGCCCAGGCCACACCCCAGCACGTATCCCAGCACACGAAGGCAGCACACATCCCAGCACGTATCCCAGCACATGGAGGCAGCACACAGCCATGCACACATCCCAGCACACGAAGGCAGCACACGTCCCAGCACACATCCCAGCACACATCCCGGTCCAGCGCACATCCCAGGCACGGTCGGTCGGCCGGTCGAAATAATGCAGTGCGAGATCACATAGATAGGTATGATAATTATTTGCGATACATGTCGAGGTCGAGACGGGCCAGCGGAATTATGTTTGAGGATGTCCCGGGCGAAACTCTGGTTTTCGAAATTCCGATTGATACAATAGATGGCAAAGTAAGCATAATCGTTTGTTGCGGATGTCTCGAGCGAACCGCTCGTGTTGCAGAATTTGTTGAGGGTGTCTCTAGCGAAACGCTTGTTTCGGAGACTTCCAAGAACCTGGACGTCCACGTTCCCTGACGCGACCCTTGGGACGTTCCGTGGCGCGTCCCCGTGGCGTGTCCCCCTGTCAATTAGCTCTGGGGCAGCTGCTATGTGCTCAGGCAGCTCGAGCTTAAGATCCATATCATTTCGGTCAGGACTCGGATGCAACGGGGGACTCGATCCGCAACGCTATAGAGCACAATCGCGGCATGGCACATCGCAATTCAGCACGGCACAGCACAGCACAGCTTTTGGTACGGGATCTCAAGATCAATACACGCAGCATTGCAATTGCCCGTCGCCCAATCAGGTTCCCTGGAAACGTTGCCATGCCTTACACTTCTACATTCCATTCCGGGTTCATGGGTCGATCATGTTGTCTTGGTGGCTATGGGGATGAAACATTTTCCCCTCCGCCACTGGTCTCCATTTCCTCGTGTAGGCCCTTCATCTTAACCAGGTGAAGTGGAAAGTTGTGGGCATAACGACCCACACCATAGATGATGTTTGGCTTCACCAGGTCGCCACATTCGTGAATGTTTGGGGCAAAGTGGGCAGGATACGGCACACATATGTGATTTGTGGGGTCGGAGTTGGAGCGGCCCCACCAGCCCAGGAGGTTATGTTTGACAAGTCTCTTCAATACTAGGCCCCGACATCTCGGAGGAGTGGACTTCGTTGGAGGGCAGCGGTGCAGCTCATTGCTCATGATCAAGTTCATACTTTTTCCCGGAAGGGGCATGCTTTTTCACGGAAAGGGCATGGGCCCAGGGCTCTCGTTTAGTAGGTTTACCCCAGCCTTCGACTTGAGGGGCCGGCGGAAGTTGTCCGATGTCTCAAGCGAAACGTGTTTTTTTGAATTTCCGCTCGATTGATAACAAGGTAACGTGAGATCTTTCGTTAGATGCGGATGTTTCGAGTGAAACGCTCGTGTTGCAGAACTTGTTGAGGATGTCTCAGGCGAAACGCTTGTTTTGAAGACTTCCAAGAACCTGGACGCCCAAGGATGCCCCAGGGGGCTCTGGGAGTGCGGACGCAGCGTAGTTTATTAGAGATCGTGGCCCTGGGAGCGCGGCCGCAACGCAATTTACAAGGGATCGTGGCACGGACGAAGGGTAATTTATGAAGCATCGTGGCCCAGAGCGTGAACCCCGAGTGATTTACAAAGGATCTTCGCCCTGGGAGCGCGGACGCAGCGTAGTTCACAAGGGATCTTGGCACTGGGAGCGCGACAACTATATAATTTACAAGGGATTGTGGCCCTGGGAGCGTGCATCCGTTGTAATTTACGAGGATCTTGGCCTTGGGAGCGCAGACCCAGTGTAATTTGTGAAGGGGTCTTGCCTGTGAGCGCGAACCCAGGGTAATTTACAAAGGATCGTGGCCCTGAGAGCGCGAATCTGGTGTTAATTACAAGGGATCGTGGCCCTGGGAGCGTGCATCTTGTGTAGTTTGCATGGGATCGCTGCCCTGTGAGCGCGAACCCAGCGTAATTTCCGAGAGAACGTGGCCCTGAGAGCGCGAATCTGGTGTAAATTAGTGAAGCGCGGCCTTGCGCGCGCGGACGCAATGTAACTTACGAGGATCCGCGGCTTCTGGTCCAGCGCCTTATTTTCAAGAAATGGCGGGGTGGCCGAAAAGCGCCCCCCCGAATACATGTTCCAATGCAGAGAAATATTGGTTTCTGCTCTGGAGAAGAATTTTCGCGTGGTGTGGGGCCTCAAAGGGCCTCCCCGGGGCGGGAGTTTTCGTTTGGTGTAGGGCCTCTGGGGGCTTCCCCGGGCAAGAGTTTTCGCCTGGTGTCGGGCCTCCATGGGGTTCGCGCTCCTGGGCGGGAGTTTTCGCGTGGTATCGCGGGCACCTGGCCTTCCCGGGTGGGCGTTTTTTCGCGCGGTGTCGGGCCTCTGGGGGGCCCCCTCCCGGGCGAGATTTCGCATGTTGTCGGGCATCCGGGGGCCTCCCCAGGGCGGAAATTTGTGCGCGGAGGGGGCTTCCGGAGGCGTCCCCGGGCAGGAGTTTTCGCATGGTGTCGGGCTTCCCGGGGCTTCCCTTCCCGGGCGAAAGTTTTCGCGTGGTGTCGGGCCTCCGGATGCCTTTCCGGTGCGGGAGTTGGCACGTTTGCTTGCGCGTCGCCTGGCACGTTCCCTGTCACGTTCCATGGCGTGTCTCCCTGGCACGTCGCGCGGCGCGTCCCCTGGCACGTTCCCTGGAACGTTCCGTCGCGCATTCCCCTGGCACGCCCCGCGTTGCGCCCCCTCCATCCCATGGCACGTCCCCTGGCGCGTCTCTTCGGACGTTCTGCGGCGCGTCCCCGTGGCATGTCCCACGGCGCGCCCTCTAGCGCGTCCCTTGGCGCGTCCCCTTTGCGGCACGCACAGCGCAGCGCAGCACAACACAGCCCTTGGCACAGCATCGTCAGTCACCATCCATATCTTCAGCATTGCCACTGCCCATCGCCAAATTGAGGTGCTTTGAAACGTTTCATTTTTCATATTTCTACATCCCTTTCCAGGTTCGTGGGTCGATCATGTTTGCCGCCTGGGCCAGAAGATCGACCAGCAAGTACTCGCCAACGTGGTCCTCCAGAGTGGAGATCGATTCGTCGCAGGCGCCGAAGCCATGTTGCAGGGACGAACGTGCAGGGACGACCGCGCGCAAGAAGCACAACATAGCGAAACGTGAGCCAGGACCGATGGGACCGCATATGAACAACATGTTCGAACCCCGCGGCGCAATATACCCCCCCCCCGACATTAATTTTGAAGGGGCGGCACTGGAGAGGGCATTGATTAACAGAAATATTTCAACTCCCAAACCACCACCAATGCTGAAATCAACTTTGACTTCAAGGCCCAGGGGGTGATGAACATCCCCTCAAGTGTGTAAAGGGTTCGAATAGTCTGTCCATGTACTGGAGGAGTGTAGAGCCCGAAGAAGCAAACGTTGCATAAACATAAGCCCTCGGAGCTTCATGCGGACCCCTGGGAATAAGCACAACATAACGAAGCCTGAGCCAGGATCAGCGGGAGGACTGTGTCGGGCGGGGCTGGGACGAGGGTAAATCCGTTCCAGCGCGTTCTGGAAGGAGGCCGCAGCGCCCGAGACATCCTCCAGAACCGCCGGAGCTCAAATATTCTTTATCGATAACAGTGATCTGTTTACCAGTGTAGAATAAAGGGAGCTGTGAGGCACGACAATGGCTGCATCGTCTATAGTCATGTGTCCAAGGAGCCCGCCTCCGATACAGTCTTGGCGACTGGCTCAGTCTTGCCAACCTTCTCAGCGGTTGGGCCCATCACTACTCCAGTATTCTAGAGATTTCGACGCCCCCCCGGCAGACTGCGATTGCCGGTGCCGCTGCGAGCTGGGCGGTGGCGCGGTGGCCGCGGCGGGCGACGCGCCGGGCTTGAAGCTCGCCGTGGACACGTGCTTCGGCGCCCTCGGCGGCCGCAGCTCGGCGCCCGCAGCGGCGCCGCCTACCCCGCCCGGCCGGCGATTCGCCGGCCTACGCCTCGCTGTCGCTGTCAGCGTGGTTGGCGCTTGGCGGGCTGCTGCTGGTGACCGGCTTCGTCCTTGGCGTGGCGGCGGGGAGCTGCTGCGCGGCTGCCCCTCGGGCGCGCGCCCCGGCGGGCTCCCACCTCCGCCCGGGGGCCTACGCGGGGCCGGGCTCTCCCGTGGCGCTGCGCGGGCCTGACGTTTGATGGCGAACGCCGTCCAGGCGGCCCGCGAGTCGCGGGCTTTCGACATGCCGAACCCGCAAATCCTGGTGGACTTCTTCGATGATCCGAATGGCTTCTATTGGCACCATCGGCTTCTGCAGCAGACTGACGGCAACGGGCTCTGGACGGCCGCGACGCCCACACATTTGGTCCAGGTACTCGACATCTCGGTGCACCGCGTGTCGCCGCTGGATCGGAACGAGCCGGTCCCTGCCCCGTGCCGCGACGACGTCTTCCTATTCGACCCTTGTTCGAGCCCCCTACATCAAGGAAGAGCTGGCTCTCACGAGGTTCGAGAACGCGAAGATCGAGCACTTCCCTTTGTCTGTCCCTCGCGTGGTCGTCGAGTTCCTCTGGAGCTTCCGCGCTCAGGGCCAGATTTTGGGTTCTCATCATCGCGAGTGGGCCGGAAGAGCGGAGTGAATGCCAGCGGGGCGGCGGCACGGGAGCATATTATTTAACAGCGAAGATTGATAGGTTTCTAGTAGGGGCAAAAGAGAGCATCATGACGCCCCAGGGGGGTCTGGTCGCGATCCGGGGGAAGATGCCGGGGACTCCTTTTTTAGCGAACAGTAACGCACTTCGTGGTCTTCGAGTTCCCAGAACTCCATTCCTGGGCATGCATTTGAATGCCCAGAGCCAACTGTAGGCCACTTCGTGTTCTTCGAGTTCCCAGAACTCCATTCCCGGGCCACATTTTGAATGCTGAGGCAGGCTGATGCTGAGGCTGAGGCATGCTGAGGCTGAGGCCGAGGCTGAAAGCAGACTGACTGAGGCTGAGGCTGACGCAGGCTGAGGCTGAGGCGGAGGCAGGCTGAGGCTGAAGCTGAGGCAGGCTGATGCTGAGGCAGGCTCAGGCTGAGGCTGAGGCTGATGCAGGCTGAGGCCGAGGCTGACGGCAGACTGAAGCTGAGGCTGAAGCAGGCTGAGGCTGAGGCTGAGGCTGAGGCAGGCTGAGGCTGAGGCTGACGCAGGCTGAGGCTGAGGCAGGCTTTGGCTGAGGCTGGGGCTGAGGCTGAGGCCGAGGCTGATGCAGGCTGAGGCTGAGGCAGGCTGAGGCCGAGGCTGACGGCAGACTGAAGCTGAGGCTGAAGCAGGCTGAGGCTGAGGCTGAGGCCGAGGCTGAGGCCGAGGCTGACGGCAGACGGAGGCTGAGGCTGTAGCAGGCTGGGGCTGAGGCCGGGGCAGGCTGAGGCTGAGGCTGAGGCTGAGGCAGGCTGATGCTGAGGCAGGCTGAGGCCGAGGCTGCGGCTGAGGCTGAGGCTGAGGCTGAGGCTGAGGCTGAGGCAGGCTGAAGGCCGACTGAGGCTGAGGCTGAAGCAGGCTGAGGCTGAGGCAGCTGAGGCTGAGGCTGAGGCTGAGGCAGGCTGATGCTGAGGCAGGCTGAGGCTGAGGCTGAGGCTGATGCAGGCTGAGGCTGAGGCAGGCTGAGGCTGAGGCCGAGGCTGAAGGCAGACTGAGGCTGAGGCTGAGGCTGAGGCTGAGGCAGGCTGAGGCTGAGGCTGAGGCAGGCTGATGCTGAGGCAGGCTGAGGCTGAGGCTGAGGCTGAGGCTGAGGCTGAGGCAGGCTGAGGCTGAGGCCGAGGCTGAAGGCAGACTGAGGCTGAGGCTGAAGCAGGCTGAGGCTGAGGCTGAGGCAGGCTGAGGCTGAGGCTGAGGCAGGCTGAGGCTGAGGCTGAGGCTGAGGCTGAGGCAGGGTGAGGCTGAGGCAGGCTGAGGCTGAGGCCGAGGCTGAAGGCAGACTGAGGCTGAGGCTGAAGCAGGCTGAGGCTGTGAGCTGAGGCAGGCCGAGGCTGAGGCAGGCTGAGGCTGAGGCTGAGGCAGGCTGAGGCTGAGGCAGGCTGAGGCTGAGGCCGAGGCTGAAGGCAGACTGAGGAGGCTGAGGCTGAGGCAGGCTGGGGCTGAGGCTGAGGCTGAGGCAGGCTGATGCTGAGGCAGGCTGAGGCTGAGGCTGAGGCTGCAGGCTGAGGCTGAGGCAGGCTGAGGCTGAGGCCGAGGCTAAGGCAGACTGATGCTGAGGCTAAAGCAGGCTGAGGCTGAGGCTGAGGCAGGCTGAGGCTGAGGCAGGCTGAGGCTGAGGCTGAGGCTGATGGGCTGAGGCTGAGGCAGGCTGAGGCTGAGGCCGAGGCTGAAGGCAGACTGAGGCTGAGGCTGAAGCAGGCTGAGGCTGAGGCTGAGGCTGAGGCTGAGGCTGAGGCTGAGGCAGGCTGAGGCTGAGGCTGTGACTGCGACTGCCGTTGCCGCTGCGACTGTCATCGCGGAAGCGTCTACGACTGCGAGAACAGCAGGATTCTACAGTTGGATTCTCATTTGAATCTTAAGGGGAATGCTTCCAGATTTGCTCCTACACATCGCTGTTAGGTCGCTCTGCCGGGATAATCTTTTTCTGTGAGGTTTTTCGCTGGGAGGTGCAGTTCGATCAGCTCGACGTCTCGATGCTGGCCAGCGCGGAGCTCTGCTTCCGCCGCCTCGTACAGATCGAGGCGGCGGCCCGCCGCAACCCCGAGGTGCCCGACTTCTCGGCCCTCGACGCGCTGATGAGCGCTGCCGCCGATGAGTCTGGGGCGGCGACGGCCGCGGTCATTGCCCAGTGGGTCGCGGGCCGCCAGAAGGGCCGAGCGACGATCGCGAAGCAGGGCCGTCTGCTGCGCGAGGAGAAAGAAGCTGAGCGCAAGCGGGCCGCCGACCCCAAGAAAGGGTCGGGGCCCGCGGACCAATGACTATCGGGGGAGGCCCAGAACGAGCTGGGCGACTTGGCCACGCGGCCTGGCTCAGCCTTCCCGCTTCTTTTTGGCCTGCATACATATGTTGTGCAATCTCTTCGGCAGGCTGGGTCCGTCGCGGCCTCCCACGGCGACGTGTTCCCCTTGCCTTGCCCCAGTCTAGAGTCCCCTGACCGATGCCAGCGTCGCGCAGCCCAGCAGGCTGCGGCTCGTCGTCGCGTGCGGCGGAGTCGATCGCGCCCTGGAATGCGCTCGCGGCAGCCTCTACCCTGTCGCCTCGCGGCATCGTCGACCCTCCCACTCCCGCCACCCAACGGGCCCCAGGCCTCGGTGATCAGCCGCGTCGGGAGGAGAGCATCTCGGCGGCGGCGTCAGCCTGACTTCCCGCCGAAGGAAGCAGTGCTAGAGCTTCTGAAGACCAGCGACATGCATGACACTGAACCCCAGGGGCTCGAGGTCTTCGACCCCGACCAGCTGAAGGTCCTCGAGCGCCCTGCGCGCCCGAAGCCCTTCGAGTCGGTCTTGGCCAGGTTCGCTCTGGAGCAGCACTTGCACTCGGAGTCTCGGACTGGCGCCTCGAATGTTCGGCCGCCGAGATCGAGGCGCGCATCCAGGAGGGGCTGATCGCGCCGGATCCCATGTCCCGCCCCTCTCGCCCAGCGGTCTTCCTTTTCTTCGAAGGCCTTGCTGGCCAGCGGACCTGGCGGGCTGCGGACCTCGACCCGCGCCCGCGTCGCTCGTCTCTTCCGCGCCAAGAAGGGCGGCTCTCAGCGCGTGATCGTGGACGCCCGCGAGGCCAATCAGCTGGCGCAGGAGCCTCCACAGGCGGCTAGGCGGGCCTGGGAGCTGCGCGACCTGGACCTGAGCGACGCTGCTTTCGAGTTGGAAGGCTGCGACCCCCGCGAAGCCGATCTGCGCATCTGCGTGGCCGCCCTGGACTTGTGCCAGGGCTTCCACCGGTATCGCGCCAAGCGCCTGGGCCGCTGTTTCGGCGCCGAGTTCGGCCCCCCTCGCGACAGGGGCGCCACCTCCTGCTGTGACGAGGGCGCGCAGGGTTACCTCCCCGTCGACGGCGACGCGGTCCTCTACTTCGTCATGGAAGTCGCCTGCGTGGGCTTCAGCTGGGCCTTGTACTTCTGCCAGTGCCTCATGGGGGGCGCCGCCCTGGTCGCCTCGGGCCCGCTGGTCGCCTCGGGCCCGCCAGTCCACGGGCCCGGCGGCCCCTTGTCCCGCTGGGCGGGCTTACCGTGGGAAGTCACCTGCACCTCTCCTGGGGCGCGGGCGCCCCATTTTCTCGGTCTACTTACGTCGACAACGGCACCGCTATCGGCTGCAATCGCAAGGATGCTCAGGCAGGCCTCGACCGCTACCTGGCCCGCCTCGAGGAGCTCGGCCCCATCGTCCACGACGTCGAACTCGCCCAGCGCGAGCTCGTCATCGTGGGCCTCCAGTTCCTCGGGGGCGCCCACCTGCAGCTCCTGCCCGCGGCCATGCACCTCTGGCGGCTGTACCTCGCGCTCGACCAGCTCCAGCGTCAGGGCGGCTGTCAGGGCGTGATCTTGGAGCGCTCCGCGGGCCGCCCTGTCACCCTCTTCCAGCTGATGCCCTGGGGGCTCTCGGCCCTCGATCGCTGCCGCCGCTTCCCGCGCCGACATGGGCGTCGCGAGTGGGGCTGGTTTTGCCCGGCCCTGGTCGCCGAGCTGCGCGCGCTGATGGGCTTCGTCGAGCTCGTCGACGTGGACCTTGCCGCGCCCCGCGCGCCCGCAGTCTTCTCAGGCGACAGCTCCACCTTCGGCTACTCGCTGGCCTTCGCGCGAGCGTCCGCCGCGGACATATTCGACGCGGACCGCCTGCGCGAGCGCCGGCGCATCCGGGTGGGGGAGCTCCGCCTGGTCGACGGCGCGGACATGGCGGATCGCGCCTCCGCCGACGCCCCGCACCTGGCCTCCGGCTTCGGGGCGGTGGATCTCGACGTCGCCGGGGTCGCCGGGGTCGCCGCGCAGGCCGGCCCCGCGGACGCGCCAGCGGCGCTTCGGCGGCGTCGGGCGCCCGCACGGCTCGTCGACGTCAGCGAGGCCTTAAGATTGGCGCTCGACGACGCCTGGACCGACCCCGCCGGCTGGCGGAATGCATCGTCAAGGGCGGCTGGGTCTTTCACTCCGCCATGCACCTGAGGGAGGCTCGCGTGGCGCTAACGCAGCTTCGCCGTGCCTCGCGCTGCCCGGCCGTGCGCGCCGCGCCGAAATACTGAGCGCCCTTAGGATCCTGGCCCCCATGAAGGGTCGGGCTCCGGCTGCGGCGCGGCAGGCGGCGGCGATCGCGACCGGCGCCGAGATCTCGCGGCACTTGCGCTACATCGAGAGCTTTCGCAACTGCGCCGCCTACGATTCCCACGCGGCAGATCGTGGCGATGCCCTCCCAGGCCAGTCGATGTCGGGGGCTGCCCGCGCCTGCCGGCTCGCTCTCGATTCGGCTGAGTGCCGCCCAGCCCCCCCCCGCTGCCGCGTCGCGGGGCGGCCCGGACTGGCCGCGCGCTCCGCCTCGCCAGCATGCGCGCTGCGTTTCCCGCCCGCGTGGCCCGAGCAGCGCCTGGGCTTCTGGGCGCCACCGCCACGGGGGCAGAGGCGACCCCCCGCGGCCGCCTCTCCTCCGACCCGCCGCCGCCTCGACCACGCCCGGCGACGGCGGCGGCGGCGGCGG